CTGTGTTAGCTGCTCAGGAAGCTGTCCCCTAGGCAGCTAAGGAGGGTAGAAGCTAAGAACTTGGGAGAACAGCCTGATGCCCAATTTGCCAGCCTCCCACAAGGGGTCCGTGCTTGGATGGGGCTGTGCAGTGGACACAGCAGCCACAATGAAAATGTGGATAGAAACTTTTTCACTCCTCTCTTCAACCTGTAGGAACCCCCTCTGGGCTTAATCAATGCTTGATAAATGCAAGAATGAACTCAAATAACCCACCCTCTGCCAAGAGGGGGTCATGTCCATGAGAATTCTTTATAACCTTAAAGTCTCAGGATATTTACAACAATTATTTTGTTAGCTACAATTTCCGTCGTTTCTCTCTCCCAAGACCAACTGAGGATGTGGAAGTTTCACAGACAGTAATTAAAGATGTGTGCACAGATTTAGGAATGACTATGCTCACTGATGCTGTCCATTGTAACAGAACATGGGAAACAACATATATGTCCAACAAAAGAGGAGTGTTTAAATACATTATGGGACGCCCATACAATAGAATACCGTGAAGCTATTAAAAATCATATTGTTAGAGAGTGGATGGAATGATGTTCACAACATATTGTTAAAAGGAAAAAGCAAGTTACAAAAGCAAAACACTATTATCACAAAGAGGGAATTTTTTCAAAAGATATGTTAACAGTTATTGCAACGGGTGCAATTATGAATGGATTTAAATTTTTTCTTTTTTATTGTTTATTTGTTTTCTAATTTTTCTACAGTGATGTGAATTGCTTTGGAAATCAGGGCGGGGGGACAATAAATCTTATTTTTGCTAGCCAGAAAAAAAAATAGGAAAAGCCCACTCTTTAAAGGCTGCCTTCTGGCACCTTGTTCTGCCAGATGGATATGAAACCAGCTCAGACCCCGCTGTCCAGCTTGCCATGGAAGCTGCCTTGGCTCTGGGCGGAAGCTTTCTTGGTGCCAGTATCCACCTTGAAAAAAGTTATTAAAAATGCAGCTGTCCTGGCCAAGCTCTCATCCTGAAGTACCAAGGGGCACTTCAGCCCAGAGAAACGGCAGTTCCAGAGCCCTCTGGGTTTGGTGGGGTTTTTTTTGCCCTGTGGGTTTTTGAAGCAGAGCAGCAGCTCTAGCTTGTGAGAAGAACCTCCCTCCCTCCTCCCAGCTGCCCTCCGAAGGTTTGCAGACAGCTCCCTTTCCATCCCACAAGAGGAGACGGGCAGATGAGTCATAGCCCTGGCTCAGATTAAAGAAGTATTATTGTGTTAGCAAAAATGGATCTATTTTATTATCTGTTTCTTGACACCTTACAAATAGATATGTATTTTTCCCACCAGACAGGCAAGTTCCTTAAAAAGCTAACAGTTTTGTTTGGCTAAAGCTAAGAAATGACCAAAAAGAGTTAGAAAGTCGTGTCTGAAGAGCAGCCAGACTGCAAAGATGTAGTGGAAACACTGAGGAAAGTGGTTTATAACCCTCAGACTCTAGATTCAAGTTTGCAAAGTGATGCCATTCTTCTAAAAATATACAGAGGAACCACGGAAACCCTTTCCTCTTTTCTAGGAGCTTTTTCTCTCTTTCCTTTTTTAAAGAAATATACTAGAATTGGTTTGTAAAGGAGATTCACCACCAGATTTCACTGTCTGCGTGGGGGTGACGGTCGTGGGACACTATTTTAAGGATTTCCTTCTCTTATACAGATTTTTCCACACTGGGAGAGGATAGATAAGGTATGTTCCACTAATGTTCCTCATTAAACACACATGCATGCCAGCAGTCATTTCCGTTTGTCTTGCTGTCCCATGACAACAGATTGCATATCATCGGAAATTGGAATGGAGACCTTATTTAGCTTGGATCTCTCTTCTCCATTGTTTAATTCCACGTTCAATTTTTCATTCTATGTCTGCCTCCTTTGCAGAAATACACTATGACTGAATATAGGAACAGAAAAACAAATGTGTTATTTATTCAAGACTCATCTCATAGACTTTTCAGGAGCACTTTGACGAGCAGCCCCCACTCCCCATTTTATCTCTGGGCTGAAAAGTACTAGGCACTCAGTAAAGATCTGATGACTGATAGGCGTATATGTGTCGTCTATGTGTCATTAATATGCGCTCCTGGTACTTTGCTTACTGTTGATCAAGTTCCAGTAGTGAGTTTCCCTGTTTCCTTTATTGCTGTAATGCAGAGATGTTTTGGTGGTGTCTAGAGGAAGCTGGATGTCTTTCCAATCCAACCAGCTCTGTTCTCTGACACTATCATCATTGTTTTTCCTTAAGACTGCAGAGATATGATGGAAAACTTTCAAAATGATCCCAGCTATTTGTTTTTTGAGCATCAACTTTTATCCAAATGTTGCTGTGACTTTTTTCTTTTTATTTAAAAATTCAATTTTAAATATTTTGTTTTTCTAAATGGGACCCATTAGATCTAAGACTAAGCGTTCTTTTCACTTATCAGACATTAACTGTGTGCCAGGCATTGGGTAATAGCTTGCATAGTCATTATTTCATTTACTCTCTTACAACCACCCTATGAAGGAGATGTCAACACAGGAGGAAACTGAGGGATGGTAAGCCACTTGCCCAAGATCACACATTTTGGGTGGCGCTCTTCCCACCCTTCCATCGAAATCCATGCAACTTTTATCAAAGTCCATGAGTTTGGTCATCCAGAGAACATTTTCTGAGAACACAAGGTAGGGCTGTATTTGTACTTCATAAAGCCCACACCTTACAAAAGGAACCAGACCCCAGGTAATAGAGGCCAAACTCCCTTGTGGCACTACACCCTAAAGAGCTGGTCTGGACATCACATAGACCTGATTTCAAGTCCCTGCTCACCCACTTACTGGACCTGAGACCACAGGAAAGTTATCTACCCTGAAGGAGACTCAGTTTCCACATCTATAAAATGGAGATAACAGTATAGATTGAACTCTATAAACTTGCCAACTTGAAACTATTTTTTACTTCCAACAAAGTGTTTTCAAACGGCTCTACCTAAATTTTTCATTGGGTCGTTGTAGGAGTGCACACAGGAAACACTCAGTAAGTGGCGCTTTTTAGTAGACTTGCTCTTCCTGATTTCATTTTGCTGGGGTCAGTAAAGTTAGCCTGTATTCTCTGCCTACACTTTATATGCAGAGAAGCCGGCCAGAGGTTATGCAGGCGTTGGAGTTGATAATCAGGGAGGCTATAACAACAATCTCCTTAGGCCCTACTGCTCCATGTATTTTCCCCCTTTAGTTTAGTCTCTTAATTACTGAATAAATTTACAAATGCTTTAAAAAAAAAAAAAAAAGTGGAAGGGGGTGCCGGGGATATTGAGGAAGTTTAGCACTCTGTGTTAAAGACGAAAGAAAAAGTTTTAAAATCCATTCCTGCCCCTGGAGTCTGGCAGGGCGGGGCCTGCCTTCGCTGTGAACCAGGGCTCGCGGCGCTTGCAACCAGCCGGGCGG